GAAAATTGCACCACAAAGGTGCATGAATGGACAAACTTCAATGACATTTTTTGATCAAAAAATTTCACCACAGTGGTGCATACAAAATCTGGTGTAATTTGTTTTTTTAAAGTGGTTCATGGAGGGTTAAAAGAAGAGGGTAAATTTAAGGTTGAAAAAATTCACCTTTGTGGTGGTAAATTGTGGAAAAAAGCATTTTATTGAATAATTCTGGTGTAAAAATATCATCAATGAATAATTCTGGTGGAAAAATTGAATCATGCATAAAATTTGGAGGTGCACATTTAACTGAAAATTTCTGGTGGAATGTTCGCAACACTTGTAGAAGCAAGGTTTATTCATGTGCATTTTTTTTCCCTTTGGTTTGTTTACCGTCGATCTTGTTTTCCGTGCTGAGCACCAATGCTACCGACGTGCCAGGAAGGCAGCTCCCACACCTGGACCCTACCTATCGACCCATCAACTCATGGACCGGGGACCAACGGCTTTACTTCCCATCCGAAGGAAGGCGTGATCAGAGATGTTATGCCTCAGAACATCCCGGTGGCGCCGACTGGGATTGAACCCAGGCCTGCTGGGGTGAGAAGTAATCACGCTTACCACTACACCACCGGCGCCGTTGTTCATGTGCATAATTTGCATCGTTCTGATGAATGCAAGTTTCATTGAAAATTTATGGTGGAAAATTTGCATCATTCTGGTACATGAAGAGGCAAAGCCTGAAAATTGCACCACAAAGTTGCATGGTGAAACAAACTTCACTGACAATTTTTGGTGCACCGTTCTGGTGAATGGAAGAACATGAAAATGTCTGGTGGAAAATGGAAAACGGATATCTGCACCAATCAGAAGATTGGAGAACAATTTTTATTGAACATTAACGATGGAAAATTTGCATCGTTCTGGTCAATTGAAATTTTCTGGGGCAAGTTGTATTGAAAATTTCTGGTGCAAGATTTGCAACAATCTGCTGCATGGAGGTGATAGCTGAATTGAAAATTCCTGATGTAAACATTGCACAGTTCTGGTGAATGGAGGGGCAAGCTTTATTGAACATTTCTGGTAGAAAAAAACTACAACGTTTTGGTGAATGGACGGACAACTTAAACTTGACTTCCGAGAAGAATTCTGAAGACAAGTTCCAAAAGAAATGATTTCTGGGGATGATTCCATGAAAATTCTGCGAATAACTTCTAGTGAATCCTGCAGATAGTTCTAAGATAATTTCGAAAAGAAAACCGAGAGAATCAAATTTTGAATGAAATTCCAAAGCGATGTTGGGGAAAATTTGAATTTCATTTTGGGAAGAATTTCTGGAGAATATAGAGGAAACTCTTCTGAAAATTTAGGGGAATTTCAGTTTCTAGGCGTTCTGAGAAAAAAAAAGTTCTAAAATATTCCGAGAAGAACCTCAATGATATTGAATTCCTAGGACAGTTCCAAAATATTTCTGGAGAGAATTCAAAGACAATTCTGCGGACAATTTCTTGTACATCCTGCAGCTGGTTCCAAGATAATTTCGAAAAAAAAAATACCGAGAAAATCATATTTTTAAAGGAAATTCCAAAGGGATTTTAAGCAAAATTTCAAGTTAATTCCGAGGAAAATTTCTAGCGCATTCAGTTCCAATGTGTTCTGAGAAAAAATCATAAAGAGTTCTAAATATAATTCCAGTGGACTTCTGAGAAGAATTTCAAAAAGCTCTTAGGAGAGTTCTAAAAAAAAAACCGAGAAGATCCTCAAGGATATTGAATTCTGAGGACAGTTCCAAAGAATTTCTGGGGAGTATTCTAAGAAAATTCTGCGAATAATTTCTAGCGAATCCTGTTATAGTTCCAAGATAATTCCGAAAAGAATACCGAGAAAATTAAAATCCAAATGGATTTTGAGGAAAATTTCAAGGGAGTACCTATAGCTCATTCTGGGAATAATTTCTGGATAATACTGGGAAATTCTTCTGAAACTCTAAGGGAATTTCAGTTCTAAGGTGTTCTGAGTAAAAGTCAATGAGAGTTCTAAAAATAATTCCGGAGGACTTCTGAGAAGAATTTTAAAAGGGCTCATAGAGTTCAAAAAAAAACTTTTGGATTCTCTAATTGAAATGTGGGTATTAGTTTGCCATTGAACCTTGGTCGATTGTTGCCTTACTAAAAAATCGTCTTCTCTGAAAATGTCAATGAACAGCTTTGAGTGTGTTGGCTTGTTTCCTTTTAATTCCGTTATAATTGCTTATCTTTTGACAGATACGCATATTTCGTCTACTACTTGCAGACTTTATCAGTGCCAAGCACTTCATATCACTGATTAAGCTTGGATTGATCAAGAGCAATATACTGTTTGTTCACTGCTATGAGCACTGTTTGAGCCTTGTACTTGTCGACGCAGTGTGCATACGAAAGGAGAATGCGATTCTTATTGGTCATTCATCTAGGTTTGTCGATGCTATCACCACCAACTGACGTGACTTCAGCTGAATTCAACCACCAAGGCAACAACATTGCAGCAAATGTATAATTTCGGATAAAGCCCTACTATCGCAACCATTTGACGAACCGATCATCATCGACATCGTCGATGGGATTAAATTGCCAATTTCCATTGGCTGTCTGAAAGCAGTTGCATTGAAGAAGATGAACCACCACCGGAGCAAAAAATAAGTAAAATGAGCTAAATTGAACAGTAGGGAAAAAGTGGGAGGAGGACAGCACCATCTACAACGTACTTAGGAGTACTTTCCATCCCCAGATTAAATGCACCAAAGAAAAAAAAATGCCCCTCCATAACAAGATTCCTGTGCACGCTAGTGTCTCTACAACTCGAGTTATAGAATTATCGAGTTATAGAATAACAATCCCATACAAATTCGCTATCGTAGTAACAATGTCACTCATTGTTATTATGGTTATATAACTCGATATCGAGTTAGTGGACATCGAGTTGTTGAGAGTTGACTGTACTTAATCTATGTTGCCAAAATTGAGACCTTTATCGATGTGTCACAATTGAGTGGCTTAGCGAAAAGAATCAATACTCCCTTATGTGAATCATTTTGAAAAACTACTGAAAAATTCGTGGAAGTGATGAGGATCTCTCGATTTTTGACGGTCTAATTGCACATTTGGAAGCGGCCAGTGCTGTTATTGCGTAAAATATGAGATCACTATTTTTATACATTGCAGATGCATGCTAGTCCAACGCATCGTTTGTTGCTTCTCTGTCAGATAATCTGGTAATAATAGAGAAGCAACCGCGAGCGGTTAATCATACTCATACTCAATTATGTCTGTACTATCTGAAGTAATTCAGTACATTGTGAAGTTTTCCTGCAGTAATTTGGTACTTCTCAAACTGATTCCGAGATTTTCTGAAGTGTTTCAGTACTTTCAGAAGAGATTTTGAACTTTTATTAAATGATTCTGTGCTCTCCAAAGTGATTCCGATTTTCCTGAAGTGTTTAAATATTTTCTGAAGGGATTCCAAACTTTTCTGAAATGATTAAATTATTACAAAGTGATTCAACTCTTGGTGAAGTGATTGTAAACTTGAGTTAATTGATACAGTACTTTCCGAAGTTTTGTGAAGTTGTTCAGTTCTTTCCGGAATTATTTAGTTTTTACGGAAGCGATTACAAATTTTCTGGAGAGATTAAGTATTTTCCAAAGGGATTAAGGAATTTTCTTAAGGCATTCAATAATATACGAAGAATTTAAAAGCTTTTCTGAAGTGATTCATTACTTTCAGAATTGATTTCAAACTGTTCAAAAGTGATTCAATTCTTTCTGAAGTGATTCAGTACTTTCGGAAGTGATTACAAACTATATGGAATTTTTCAGTACTTTTCGGAGTGATTCCAAACATTTCTGAAGTGATTCAGAATTTTTTTCTGGGTTGATTACAAACTTTCTGGGATGGTTCAGTACTTTCCAGTATGAATCCGAAGTTTTCTGAAGTTATTCAATATTATCCGAAGAGATTCCGAGCTTAAAGTGATTCAATACTTTCCGAAGTGATTCAGTGCTTTCTGAAATAATTCAGTACTTTCTAAAGTGATCATGAACTTTTTCAAAGTGATTCCAAACATTCCTGAAGATATTCAGTATTTTCTGAAGTGATTCCGAACATTTCTGAAGTGATTCAGTGCATTCCAAAGTGATTCAATTATTTTCAAAGTGAACTTTCCGCAATGATTCAGTACTTTCCAAAGTGATTTCGAATATTTATTTAGTATTTCTGGTCTTACTATGAAGTTATTCAGTACTTTGTGAAGTGACTCTTAATATTTCGGAACATTGAGAAATTCAAATGAACTATCACAAACTGTTTTACATGCATTTACTGACAACAAATACTGAGTAAATTTAGCTAAATAGGCTCGAGCAACACAAGCGAATTCAATATCTTCTTAATCTGCCAAATGCTTAAATAAAGTTGAAATATGGTTTGATTAGAAGAATTTGAGAAAATGAAACATCATACATTAAAATTTAATGCAGAAGCACGGGTTTAAAAAAAAAACAATAGCCAAGATTTTCGTAATCTCAGACATCATTCTACACAGACAGACATTCTAGGAAAATATGATTGTTACTTCATTAAATAAATTTTCAGTTGGTAGCAAGTTTGTCTCGGTTCAGGAACTTGATTTTTTGTATTTTTAGACTTGTAGGAACGATACAAATCACTCAGAACATCAAGATTCTAAGATTTCCAAATATAACTTCACTTTTCAAGATTTCAAGCCTTGAAGAAACTCCTTCTGAACTGAATGAACTCAAGGAAGATGCGTGCTAAGACCATAGTAAAGAATTTAGCAGATTCATAAAGCTATTTCCTATCTATTAACATATTTGGAGGCTTATTTCATCTTTAAAGACAAAGTTACAAGCGTTCAAAACCTAACACTATTGCGTCAAAGACGTAGTTCTGCGTCAAAAATCTAGAATTAAAAATGGTCAATGTATTATAGATTCGTAAATACTAACTGCTTTTTCTCATTGCAGGTCCTCCGTGACAACACCCGCATCTCGTACGACTGGTCCTACATCGTGGCCTGGGCCGGGGTGGCGTCCAGTTTGCTGGCTTCGATCCTCCTGTCCGGCGCCGCCGTCTGCCTACGGGGCGAACGCGAAAAGGAAGAGCAACTGAACCTGCAATACCTGATGCCAGGTAAGTACCCGATTTCGGGTGGTTCGGGTGTTTCCGACAGCACAACTACCGGCACAATCAGCTATCCTCTGTCGCACATTGCTAACCTTCTGTCTCCGGTTTCAGTGTATCCTCAAAAGCAGCCTCCCTACCCCTATGGTGGTTTCCCTCAGCCTCAGCTCTACCCGCAGCCATACTATCACGGATCGCAGTACGGACCGTACAACTACTAAAATTACATAGACACACGCAAAAACAAACAAATGCAATTTTTGGGTAAAATTTTCAACGTCAGACTCCTCTCTTTGAATAGTCTTTTAGAAAAAATGGAAGCAACGCTCGAGAATTCGAAGTTTAGTGAGACCGCGATTGAGCCGAGATAGGGATAAAGCGTTTAACATTTAAATTTTTTACTCGAGTCTCCTCAATCCCTGTCCCCCATTCCGTCAGCGATCGCGCGACCCCTTTTTAAACCCCCTCAATCTAAAAACCTAGACACCTAGTAGGTACTACTCTCGCTTCCAGTTTTCGCTTATGTTCTATCGCAACTGTAGAATAACTCTGAGACGGCGACGGCGAGAGCCACAACAAAACAAAAACTGCGCTGCCGCGATCTGTACCCTGTAAATCGGAACCCACTTCTACGTAGGAAACGTCTTCCCCCTGGTTTGCATTTCTTTTTAACCAACTGTGTGTAGAACTTGATTTCCGAAAAAAAAAAACAACTTACAAAAACCGTGACAAGAAATCCTTTCTCTTCCACTTTCAAACTGTTCTGTTTTCTTCCATTAATACATTTTATATATTATACACAAAACAAACTTAACGACAATCTCAGCTGTCTCCGGTGTCATTCTTTCGTGTGTGAGACTACTCTATTTTGTTCGTATTTTTAATTTTACGTCAGCTACTTTTAAGTTTAGAGAGAGAGACATTTGCTATTTTTTTTTAATCAAGAGAAATTTGACAGGACAATAAGACAACGCGCTGCTAGACTGTAAGTGATGAAGCTCTTGCTTGAAAATGATGATGATTTTTTTTTTGTTTTCGTGAAAAGCAGGTGTTGCAGAAAAACATGCGTAATGCTCGTTTGTATTATGTATAGAAGATAATTTAATACTACGATGTAAGGAAAACAGAAAAATATATTTTAGTTATAAACCGATTCGGGATGGATATTTCGGATGTCGAAGAGTGAACAAATCCAAACTTTTGATCGTCAGTTTATAAAATTAGCAATACTGTCATGGTTCCTAGCATCTAATGGCACACTAGAGCATCATCACGGGGCGAGGTTTAAAGTGGCTCACGGTCTGAATTAGAAAGTGCTGCCATCTACGCGTCATGAGTTGAAACTATAGAGGCATACTGTGCCATCATTGTTTAACTTCATGAGCCATAGATGGCAGCACTACTTTTGGGGCAAAAGTGTCGTCGTCCAGTTCAATATATGAAAACCCTTCTGAAATTCAACGCCTGCGTTGGCCTCGCCGTTTGCACCCAATCTCCGCCCCTTCCGTTGAGGGTTCGCATCACCTTTAGTTCGCTTCTGGTCAACGGTCGCCTCTCGCTAGCCACTATCCACTGCACCGTTTCCGAGCACGGTGGCGTCGTCAAGCTTCCTTCGTACGCAAAGTAGGGCCACTCCATGTCACCCAGAACCTCACCAACCGTAAACAGATCGTACAGCGGAATGCTGTACTCGCTTCCTTCCCCGACCACCTTGGGCAAATACCGCGTCCACATGTTCAACGAATCGATCCGTCGACTCTTCAGCACTTCAAAAACCAGGGCAATCACGACAACTCCGTTTGGCTGATCGCGAGCAGCTTTGAACGATTCGTACAACCCATCGTAGAACACCAGGTGCATTTCGGCCGAATATCGCTTCCTATCGAAGGTGTGCTCCGATCCAAGATGGTAGTGAAACTGGTAGAACAAATACTCCCCTCGGAGTGGTCCACCTCGAAGCCGCGGTTGCTCGCCAGTCCGGAACGTGGGAAAGAAAGCCGCCGTTCCACCTTCGTTGAGCACTTCCATACTGAGGGGGATATTCCGTGCACCTTCCAGCGCCAGTGGACGCTTCTTTCGTACGATCTGAGACCGATTAGCCACGAGGTTGATTGGGCTTTGGAACATACCGTTGCAGCTGGCATTTAGCGCACCCCAGTTCGAAGGGCCGAAGTCGTCTTCCTCGCGGTAGGAGAAGGGGCTCTGCGAGCTCGATGGTTCATTCCAGATTTCGTTGGTTTCGACCAGTTTACTGGACCGCGGTTGCTCGGTGACACGCTCGTAGAAGTTGTAGAATCGGTGATGGGTTTTGTCCGTAAACTGGAAGAACCCATTCGGGTTGTAGTAGGAACGGGCAGCGTTCCGAGCGTACGGGTAAGCTGGAATGATAGATAAGATCGTACATTTATTTGTCTATTCAATATCCGAAATCCTATGTCTAGTTCAATAAGGATGTAAAATGTGCAGAAAAGGCAACAAAAATCATATATGTAAGTATACCGTATGCGTGATAATGTTTGCACCATTGAACAATGTCAAAATTAAATAAATTCTCAAAAATTTTGTATTCGATTTTTTTTATTTCTCGATTACTTTTTCGAAGGGACGTATCAGCTTTTGTAAACAATGCATTTGATCGTCAATTTGACGTAACTGGTAGCTCGTCCACGCACACTAACACCACTATCAGGTAGGGAAAATTTTCCCCTATCTGATGGTAGTGTTAACATGAGTGGGCGAGCTACCAGTTACGTCAAATCGACGGTCAAATGCATTGTTTACAAAAGCTGATACGTCCCTTCGAAAAAGTAATCGAGATTTATTCAACGAGGGGATGTTTCTCAGAGTCTTAAACTATGTTAATCATCGATCGAGTTTCCACTTGCTGCAATTACGGCCTCCACACGCTTCCGGAATTCACGGCAGGTTCTAATAATGTAGTCTGGATCCATTTCTCTACAGGTACGGGTCAATGTTTGTCTGAGGCTTGCTGTACTCGCGTGGCGTTTTTACTCATCGCTGAGTTCCTGCACTTTTGGCGATTATAAGTGAACTAAATTCAAATTAGGGTCGTTCTCATTCGCCGTGTCTTTTTGCGACATTTGCGCGTGGGACAAATCACGAATACGCTGCCACTTCGTCATGGTGCAACTGTCAAACTAAGTAAATCATTTTCTTTTATAAACAGCCTACTACGGTATGAGCTATAGGTTACGTGCATGCAAAGAAAACCAAAGCATTGTATGCACAGGTGAAACGGGAACCTTATTTGTACGATGGTGCAAACATTATCACGCATACGGTATTAGGAAGACAGTTAATATCAATTTGGATAGTTTCTTGAGATTAAAGAAATTTTGTTTTATGTCCGTGATCTTTCCATTTGGGCTAATTTTCCTAGTTCCATAATAATCAAATGTTTTCTTAGACTATGATCTAGAAAAGTTATCTACGTCCCAGAGTTATGGTTATTGTCTATGTGTTACAGAAGGTTCTATTCTTGGGAGAAATGAAGACGACCAGTCCGCTATAGCGGCTACAAAGAAGAGAAAGATTTTTTTTATTAAAATACTCATGGCTTACTTAGATTTGCAAATCAAAGATATCACTCGTGGAGAATAGAAAAACTATGAAAGTGATGATGGCTTCAAAATTTTCCACGGGGAAGTATACGACTGCAATCCTCAAATGCTTTTATTTTGCAAATGGAGCATTTTATTTAAATCTGGTTGTTGGTACAGTGGAAGAAAAGCTGAAATCTATATGTACACCTAAAAATCTGGAAAGATTTTTTTTTTGTATTATATGTCTATTGAGAGTCCTTAAGTTTTCTACTAACGTAGCATTAACCAGATCTATATAAAATGCTCCATTTCCAAAATAAAAGCATTTTAAGATTGCACTCGTATACCTCACCGTGTAAAATTTTGAACCATCATCACTTTCATAGTTCTTCTATTCTTCACGAGTGCCAACTTTGATTTGCCAATCTACATTTAATTCTAGACTACCATTCTTCAGGTTTCTAAACACATCGCTTCATCTATATCCTAGATCTTTAAAATTAACTTTGCAAAAACTGTCGAAATTTGTCTAAATCCTTGAATTTGAAACTTTTTTCTCTTTGCCTCAATTTTGCGATCTAATCATCAATTCGCGATTTGCATCTAATATCATCTTGGAGAATAGTTTTTTTTTTAAATGAAACGAGGTAGACAAAAGAGTGCTGGGTGCTAGGCTGGGTGAGTATTAAGTGAAAGGTAGAATTGGCTTGTGCTCTTGCTTTTTCGATTCAAACTTATTTTTTGAGAACAAATTTATGGAATCCTTAACCCGCAGACAAACAGACAAAACACATTGAATATTTCTCACTGTAAAAAATCGTCGCTAAAACATTACCGCCATCTGTTGAGTACACTGTGAAGGGCACTACGCTGAACAGATGGCGGTAGTGTGTAAACGTCAAACGCAAGGGAATTGACTATGCGCGCCACAGGTGGCGGTACTACCAACTACGGTACTTTTAAATTGTTCGTTAAATGCTTGTTCGATGAACAACATACGAGTGTTATGTCTGTTTGTCTGTGCTTAAAGCGTTTGTTTTATATTTTAGAAACACGAAAAAAGCGCATGATGGGTTTGTGAGTTTATAAAATTTTTTGAAGTGGCAATCAACGGAAGAAACCATATCTTTCTGATCAATAAATGCCAATATTGGTCACTATTTTAGTGTTTAAAAGTCACTATTTTGGATAGTGTAGTCACTAATATTACATCACATATCCGGAGAACTTCGAGATTATGGGTTTACTGCTTTTGTAAATAAACAATTCATTTGACGATTTCTCGCGAATTAAAGCTCAATCGCAAAAACAACACAAACAGGTAGATGAATGGTTTATCTATCATTTGGTATAGTTTGTTCACAAGATTGTTCTTTTATTCGCGAGAAATCTCAAAGTTCTCCGGACATACACTACCAGTCCTAATATAAAAAAAATTACCCTCGTTACCATTTTTTGAATATTTTTAAAAGAAAAACTTATGAAAAATTCTATCTTTTGTAACAGTTTCAAGATGGACACTTAAAAATTTAAAAAAATCATAGCACAATAATTTTTGGTTAAATTATTCATGTCTGAACAATTGTTTTCTGTGCAAAATATTCTTAAATTTTGTATAAACAAAAATTTCGAATTGTTTTCAAAAACTTGTTGTTCTATGATTTTTGTTAATATTTATGTGTCCATCTTGAAAATTTCACAGAAGTTGGCATTTTTATATGCTTTTAATTTAAAAATAGTCAAGAGGCGTATTTTTTATTGAGCAAGTCTTTAACACATGTTTTGTTTATTTTTTTATTCAAATTTGCCGTATATATTTATCCTTAAGAATAACTATGTTTTCCTTTAATTTTGTTTCAGACGTTATTTCGATTAAAAGTAACGTTTTCGAGTTAAGATTCGTTGACATTTTTCCAATACGCCATTTTGAAATTTATAACGAGATTTGATCAATTTTCGGATGCCCATTGACTACACAGATTACTATGCAGTGCAGTGCCGAGAGTGCCAGTTATCAGGCTGACTTGTGAATAATGGCATTCTTGGCAACCCGGTTAATCTGACAGTTCAAATGTTATATTTTTAAGGCGAAGTAACAACACAACAAGCAGTGTAATCCGAACGAAGACAAGATCCAAGACGATGATCCAGAGGCACTCCTGCTGCACAAACTGGCCTGACCGGAGGATCTCCTCAGCCATCGGGCCAATCTGTCCCAATAATTAGGGGCATTTAGGCCGACTTACATCCATTTCCCCTATATCTTTATTAGGGAGACTGGTCGATTCGATTGTGGTGGTGTGAATTCTACTCTAGTTTCATTGAGATTGACGCACCCTTCTTAACAAACCATCCTGTAGGAAGCTTAATAAGTATTGAGAATTGTGATATTCGATTTGTTGGATCGTATCGTTGGAGGGAGATTCTTAAATTCCCGTGGATTTCGCGTAAGTGCCTCTGCTTACGGGTCCACCCCTTCGTTTTTGGCCCTTCATACAGCAATATTGTGAATTCAGATCGGTAGCTCAAATTGATCTTGCTATTAAGTGGAGCTGCATACAAAACAAGATATTCGAAGGGATGGTGGCTACCTTACATACATACATACCCACATACATACATACATACACCTTTATTAAGGAGACTGGTTCGTCTCCGGGGTTCGCTGAAATTCTTCCGGGGATCGATATAGGCTGCGGAGATCAACGATACATGGCAGTGATCCGGGATAACGCGGATGTATGGTTTAAGGCGGGCCGATTATTTTCCTTTCTTACGTTAGCTCTACAGTAAAACCACAGACAAACAGACGTAACTCTTCATTGTGTATCTTCGTTCACGCATTTAACGGTTGATTTGAATATTATCAGTTCCGCGAACTACTCGCCGCAGCGCTGGCATCGGATCACTTTGACGTTTCTATATATTCTATAGAACTTTTATGCAATATTGTTTACGAGTTAACGAGCAAGCTTGTTTTCCGCGAGAAGCCAGAGAGATGTCGTTAGTGAGGTCCTATGTTTTGAGATACTATGTTTTCAAGAAAAACTTTTTCAAAGAGTTACGTCTGTTTGTCTGTGGTAAAACGGTCGCAATTTCGGCAATTTCTTTATATCAACCTGTCATAACCGGTGCTTTGTTGACTGTGGATGCAACGAAGTTGATCATGAATTACTGCTTCGGACAGGCATTAGGATGTGCGCTGCTCGGGAATCTTTACTCGGTTTTGGGAAATCTATGGTGGGACAAGGTGGTGGTTGCGGTTCTCCAAATCCATAAATTGGAATGTGTCAACAACAATGATTTGACACATGGACTGAACAGGCGCAGAGATTGTTACCTCTATGGTACAGTGTCGCAAGTATCTTCAACCCAAGTAGCATTGCAATTCTTATCGTGGTTTCATAGAATTCTACAAGTCTAAATAATGGTCTTCAGAACCCACATAAAATCCAAACTGTTACATAGGAAAGATCATAAAAATGTCTAACCATGAGTGCCAAACATGACCAATGAGTGTGCCCAACTGTGTTTTTGGCACACTGTGCGAAGTGAGCAACCCCTTACCGTGCCCTTAAATGTGGAATAAAAATATTACAAATCCAGAAAAGAAAACGCTTGAAAAAATATCCTCCTACAAATTTAAAATGAAAAAAGTTTTATACTACTCAGGTATAAAATTTGTTGTACTCATGAGATACTAACAGTTCGATTTTTTTGCCGCCTCATGAATTCTCATGCGCTCCTGTATAGACAAGTACCTACAAACCCAAATGCTTTTTTCGGACCCGAATTTCCATCAGGCACTCTTGTAA